ACTCTCATATAAATATACGCTATTTTTGTGCAAAGGATATCATGTTCAGTTTCTAAATAAACATTTTAAAATCATATCAAATTGACACCAAAGCATTACAACTATAATGACTAGAGCCACATAACATAGTCGACATAAATTGATAACACCAGGCAATTCAACGACAGCGCATTCTGGATCCGCCGGAGTATATCTAATATGTGGTATTGAAAATGCTGTCCTTTCTATAATTCACTTTGGTCTAACGAAATCATGTTAGTACCTGTCATCCACGCACAATATAGGAGTAGGAACAGCTTTTCGTAGAATTTTGAGAGCCTTGGCAGCATGCAATTGGTCGTGTATCCTTGATTTCCGGAATTATATCTTTCTTTTTATTGAGTAAAAGGAAATCTTGCATACATTCCAATGCTGAAGACAGACAGTTGTAAATTCTAATCAACGGGCAGTAAGGAGACATCTCCTGTAGCCTGATTCGGATATAAAACACAAAATTTCGTCGTAAAAACGATTACGAGAAAAATGACCTCACCATTAGAAGGATATTTCCAGGATACGAGAACATCCACTAACACCCAAAAGTCTCCCAAATTAAAAGCTAAGATAACCAATCGATAAAGCTCGCCGAGTTGATTATACTTACATCCACTGACACCCATTTGGCCAAATCATAGCTAACATTTTTAGCCAACTTTAAAAATAAACGCCGACTAACGGTCACCAAAATACACTAACACTCAGTTATAGTTAGACTATCGTCTACCAACATATACTAAAATAGTTTCCGTTAAATTCTGCATCTGCTAGTACCATAATCAACTATATACAAATCCACTTGGAGAAATTTTGGCTCCATACTCAAAATTAAGGGTATATAATGAAGTTCAAGACTAGGCAAGTTTTTGAAAATTGGTTTTTTAAGAAACTAATAACATATTAGTACAACCAAATCAAATTCTTTGAGAACAGATGATTTTTGACTATTAAGAACCCTCAGTATAGCCTCTGGGGGGTCTTCAAATTTAAAATTCATAAATTGCGTTCGTCATCGAGAGTTTCGGTTTCAATAAAGAAATATAAAATTTAACCGGTATCTACATTTGTAGAACTGGTTTTCCTCTACAAGACACTATTTTAATAGATTAACAAACGAAAATTTTGTGATCACTTTGAAGAAAACATGCACATTTTCAGATGTATTCAACGTCCATCTGCCCATAACCCCTAAGCCATATGATCAGTCTCTCTCAGGGTTTCATCACAGTGACTCCATTTACAAGGTCAGCAGTTTCTCCTCTCATTTCTTCCCAACATAATTGAGACCTCCTTTTAGATTTATACATGATAGTTGTATCTGGTCAAATAAATTAACTGAAGAAAGAGACAATATAAGTTAAATCTCAAAAAAAATGCGAGTTAAACATACAAGCTAACATTGGTGCACTAGAATTTCTACAGAAATTTGCCATATTCTACGAAATTCTTGCTAGAAACCACACAAATAAAATCCTACAGACAACGTAACACGCTGCCTTAGTCTGAATCATGCAACAATTACAACAAAAAGATATATTTTGAAGGAATCGTACAAAGCCTAGACTGCGACGCGATCGTAGTAAACTTGTTTGATCTGAATAGTGGTCTCTAGCAAAAATATCAAGCATGGATGTCGTTCGGAATTTATCTTTGTTGTATATTGTTGATATTGTAGTTGCACTCCGTCACGCACGAATTTTATTTGATTCCTTAGTACTCGTAATTTCATCGAATTGCTGTTGTAACCTTCTTTTAACATATTTATATAAATCTCTTTCATATTTTAGTGCCTTGTATATAACTTCTCTTGTTCGATTACTTGGTTCGATTCTATACTCTTTTGGTGTTACCCATACACGCTTCTTTTTTCGACGTAAATATGTTTTTTTTATGTTTGAAAAAAACTGTGGTAATACTTTTTCCATTACTGAAAATGTTTTAAATAACTGTTCTGTTACACCAACTAATATATAATATTTAACAATATTTGATTTTGCTTTAGCTAATGCTCGTTGAGCAGTTTTATAGCCTTCACAATATGATGACTGTCCACAGAAAAAGGCTATTGCTGAATGCACACCATGTTCTAAAGATATACAAACATGCGGTTGATGTTCATTTCTCATTACACAATCATCCAATGTTTCATTAATGTACGCACGTTTCATTCTAAAGCAAGTCTCTTTTTTCACTGTACACATATAGCGTGAGTAGTAATAATCGGATATAACACGTTCTAATGGGTTTCGTAACAAATTAATATAAAGTGGTTGTATTTGTTTATGATGAATAAAATTAATAAAATAAATATGACGTTCAAACAATGTGGGCATTTTAGAGTTTTCTATCAACATTTGAACAAATCTTTTTTGCTGTTGTTCATTCAATTTATATCTTGTATACTTTTGTGCTTCCATAAAATTGAAATTTAGTACTCTAGCTTGATGTGAAATCAGCGATTTCATTAACGAACTAGCACATTTCGGCACTCGATTATACAAAATGGGTATGATTTGTCGCTGATATTGGATAGAGTGTGCTGGATAAATCATTGACATATACGTTCGTTCGAAGGGCCAAACAACTGAATATATAAATAATACGTTTAAAATTGTCATTAATAAAATAAGATATCTATTCCCCAAAATTTTGAAAAACATATTATAGGTATTGGGTAAAAACATGGCAATTGAATGATTATGGCTAAACGAGTAAAAGTTCAGGGCTTCGTATAAATAATGTTATTCTCTGATTTAATGTTTTTGCATTTGAATTTTAGTATTTATGGAAAATATCGGATATTTCATATGTTGACAACATCATAATTTCAGATTTTGTCAACAAAACCTATCCATGTGGAACGTGAATTATAATTACTACTGTATTTCAATGACATTAGGTTTCTTTTATTCTGTAAATGCCTTAATATGCGACATTTATTTTTTCAGTGCGTACAGAAGAGAAAAAAAGAGAGATAATGATGACACATGTTTTGTTTATATTAGGTGTCACCTTACGCCTAAGAAAAGATTTATACGGTAAATACGTATGAATCCGCGTCAAATATTGTTCGATAAGAAACCAAATAATTCATTTAGTAAAGATGAATCCTTCATTCGTTGAACTATTCCTGTTTTTGTATCAACATAAAGTTAAGTGAAAACGCTTTCTAGGTTTTTGGAAACAAACAAAATAT